AGCTCCCAGTTTTTCTCCTGCAGTGTCTCATTTGTCAGTACAAGGAGTAAAAGTTGATTGCAGTTCTCACCCATGTGGCAAGGGCAATGGCCAGCATCTGACATTAATACTATGGATTCACAACAAAGGAAAGGTTAAGGTAGCCTCTGCATAAAGACAACCAAGAAACTCCGATTGCATTGAACAAAGAGGAATTTGAAAACCAATGAAATTAGTCGTGGATGAACAAAGCTGTGTGGTAATGCTATTGAAGTAATGTATAATAAACCTAAAATATTTCCAAGAACATTGTTGTACTCTCCCAGGAGTGTTCATAGCTTGCCTCTTTTTTCTGGGGTGCATATATGTAGCTTAGGCAGTTTACTGCCAGAGACATCTTTCAAGGAAATCTATGAGCAAAACTGGATAAGCTGCTAGATAATACCAAGGTTACAGGCCAAGCAGTTAGAATTATTGTGCTATGCCCACACTAAAATAACCCTTTTAGAGCATCAGTCTGTAAGAAAGACTTGCTCTTGGCACAGAAAGCCTGAAAACAGTGATCAAATGGGATCACCGGGCATTTGTTTTCAATAACACCTGGAGTTTTTCTTAAATTTTGGATTTAATATAGAGAGTAGAAATGTTTTTTAAGAATGGATGAATCCATGCTACAGAGTGAGAACTATACATATTATTATATAACAATTTATAATAATTCAGAACAATGATTTGGTTTTAACTTCCACTTCTGCATTAGAAAATGATAAAGCCTTTACCAAACATAGCTACGGGAATTGTTTCTGTTCTGATTCTAACTAAGTTTGTCTTCTTTGTTCCTGATTGTGCCTAAATTCTTCTCTGCGTCCCTTACAGACCTTTTCCCTGATGGTGTTTCCTTTTACTGGGACTATCAATAATATTTACTTACTCAAACTTAATTATTTCTGGTTCCTTTACAATTGTCCAAAAGCCCTGTTTTCTAATTCTAATTATCATCTGAACAATCTCTATGCCCTTCATGTTGGCCTGTAGTTGTAAAGCTCAAGAATGAAAAGATATATTGAGATAGTTCATGGAAATAGTCTATTATTCTCCTGACCCATATTAACTAGACCTTTTAATAATTTGATTACCATAAAAATAGATGCTGAGTATTTCCTATATGAAAGCTCTTTGAAGGTATGGATCAGCTCTATCTCATTCTTTTATATTTCTGGTACTAAGCACAGTGTGTCACATAGAGGAGCTTATCAGTCAATGGTGAATAAATGAATGAATAAGTGAAATAATGCCTTATCAACTTTAAAATATATAATTAATATGCTTATATATGCTGTTTTTCAACTATGTATACATAAGATGAAATGCTATTCAGTATTTCTGAAAGATGTATTATTAATGTGTCCTAAATGAATGCTTAGATATTAAAATTCATACTATATACTCACACAGTGGGTCAAAGGCATTTTAGGAAGTCATGTCAGCTCATTTTGATATGTCTCACCATCTTTTATGTTGTGAGAGCTATAATTTCCAAAATCTCATCTCTATTTTCTTAGCCACACAGATATGATGTGGATGGTGTCAACCTCATTAACTGCTGCTTTTTTGAACCTAAGTAATTCTTTTCTTGGATTTAGTTCAAAAAGAATTTCAACAAAATAGAAAAATACTGATTTGAGTTTACTTTTTGATTTAAATTAAAACTACTCCAAATCAGACTTCTGTTCCGGGTTTGATTCAACTCCCAGCTCACAGATAAGTATTAATTTTAGTTAGTAATTTTGAATTGAATCTTAGATAGAAAGCAATTTCAAAGTACTTGTCTGAGGAGAGGTTGTTTTTTTTTTTTGTATGACTGCTTTTTTCCTTTCTTCTTTTTCTTTCCAATAGGCATAAGTAAAAATTCTTTATAATCTCCAACATGCTTGGGTATTTCCATGAATTTTATTCTGCTTAGAATATGTATTAATTTCTTTGAAATACAATTCTCAGCTTTTGTGTGAGCAATAAAAGAGATTTAACATTCTGTTTAATAAAGGATATTTGGAGACTGATAGAAAAGCTGTATATTGAAGATATGTTCTTGCACTGTAATCTAGAGGGAATTGAATATACAGCTTTTTTGATGTTCCTCTTTACAAAGCACTATCTCTGAAATTTTAAAAAAATATTTTATAGAAATGGAATAAAATGGCAATCTGCATCGCTGAACAGTTCCTATAGTTCTCTAATAGATTGTTCCTGAGAAATATTATAGAACATTTTGTTACTTTTTCTGTGGCTGTGTTATTTTATTTTGATTTAGTTCTGTCATGTGAATGATAAGCAGCCAGGGCTGAAAATTTACTGCTTTGCAATTCTCTGAATGTTAATAATTATACTAATTAGCAATTCACAACAAACAGGTCTCAGTCACATTGAATCATTTCTGCTGCACTTGCAGCAATTTTAACATCATGAGTAAATTTCAAGCTACTGTGTTATCCTAGAAATGGTCTGCCATGAACAAAACTCCTCCCTAAACCCATTCAGGTCTGAAAGAAAGCACAGATCACTGAAAATGTAAAAAGAAACAAACAAAAAAATTACCTTCTTTTTAAGGAATACATTTCTATCCTCAATTCATGTCCTTTAATTGTATAACAAGTGATTTAGGCCTCTCATCTTCAGTTGTAATACAGATAATTCAGCAGTCTTTCTCAGTATGAAATAACTTTGCCTGAAAAATTCAAAAGCCCATAACATTTTGGGGAAACAATTCCCATATGGCTGGAAGAGCTGAATGACCAAGTAATTTAGTCTTTATTATTGACGGCTATAATTCTAAATAACTGACATGGATGCTAGCCACTTGTTTGCATATCTGGGACACTTCTGCTGATCCTGAGCAACATAGCAGCTATTGCCACTTCTTGAAAACAGCATCAGTTGCCCAACCTACCCTTAGCTAACTGCCCCCACTTTTCTCAGCATTCCCAATTCACATAGCAGGTTATAATACTGCTTTCTCAGCACTTAACCTCACTTTTGTGAATCTTGATTTTCCTTTGCTTTTGAGTACTGTGAGCTCTTCGAGCTATACCTGCATATTCCCAGCACCCAGCAAAATTCCATGTACATAATAGGTGCTCAATATATATTGATGAATAAATGAATTCGAATAACTGAACATGACTTTAGCAGTGTTTCACATTAATTCATTCGGTATCATTCATTGCTCAAATATTTGAGTGGCTGCTATGTGCCAGAAGGATATTGTGCTCTGTGGAGATAACAGCACAGAATGGCAGCTGTGTGAACTGAAGTGTTATGTGAATTCAGAATGAGTCAACATTTCTGATCTTTCCCCTCTGGTATAATGCCCACCCTCACCCCCAACATGTAAACTTTAGTCTTTCTTTTTTTAATGGGCTGTGTGGAACTATATTTCAGATATTTTAAGTAGGACTTCAGTGTTGAATACAAGTAACAATGCAGCACCACCTAACTTGTCTCCCCAGCCCATGGACTCTGTTTACTTCACCCAACAATTCATTGGCAGTCTGCTATTCAGCACCTACCACGCATCAGACCCTCAATGTGCTTGGAATACTGCAGAGAACAAGGTAGGTGCTATTATTGATCTTATGAAAGTAACAGTCTAATGGAAAGAGCAAGCATTTGACAAATAATTGTTTAATTACTGTTATAATTAATGTTGCCAAAGATAATAGACTGCAATGAGAACATAAAATATGGAATGGTCTTATAAAGGAGGTCAGCAGAGTCTTTTTGCACTGTTTCCTGCACCTGGAAAGCTCTTCACGCTGTCATTTGTCCAGCTGAATTTTCTGGTCTTACCCTAACGGCCACTTTTCAGAGGCCTTAACCTCTTCCCCACCTCATCCGAGGCTCATCTAAATTAGATCCTCTTTATTTTTATTTCTCATGGTATTGATTGTGTACTTTCAAAACAGTTGCCATAATTCTGTTATATGTGAGTTTATGTAATTACTCATTATTTGTCTTCCTCATTGGATTATAAACTCCATAAAAGTGAGAGTCTCACTCTTCTGTTCATATACTCAAGTTTTAACACAGTGCTTGAACTTAACATGTGTTCAGTAAACACTGCTTGCTTGAATAAATAAATGAATGAGTGAATCTGTGAATGAATGAGCTGGTACTGAAACTGGGGTCTGAATAAAAATGAGCTGGACGTAGCCAAGTGGAGTGTGCGGCAGGGTTGTCTTCCAGATAGATGGAATAGCATGCATGAAAGTCCTAGAAACACCAAAAAAAGAACTGGCCATTTTTGAAGCAATTCTGGAAAATTGGTTGGTTGGGAGGCAAGGGGTAAAGAGGAGAGGAGCACAAGATGAGACTTGTGGAGTCAGAACATGCCATATCTTCCAGGGCCTTTTAAACCCTGGCAAAGTATTCAAATTTTATGTATATATATATACACACACACATATACATATAGCACTTAATTTTTATACTGTATTATAATCTCACATCTAATGAAAACTTCGTATTTCTGTACCCCCAAATAATCAAGAGATATACTTCTTAGTTCAGCTATTTGGAGCAGTGTTTTAAAAAGCAGATCATTACTAGAGATTATAGGATAGGGAAAAAGATTTAGTAAAGAAAAGAACATGGTACACAGCACATTCAAATTCACTAAAACCTTCTGTATGCCTGAAGAGCCTGTAGAGAAACAGCTGTATAATGAGAGGCTGGCTGCTCTTGCCTTTCCTCAAGTTTGCTTGAAAACTATGGCTTTGTGGTTTTTATTATGTGTGTGTTTCCCCTATGATTATCCAAAATCAGGAATGCTGTTAACAAATAGTAATGATATACTGGAAATAGAATTTCCCACCTAAGGCTTCACCTAACCAGTTAGCCTCTTTTTCAGAAGGCTTGAATGTACAGTCACATGCGTAGTCTATACAATTACTTTCAAATACAAATGAGGTCTGAGATTACATTTTATTATGTCTAGACCCTGATGTTCAAACTCAGAAAATTATACTTTGGAGTCTAAGTGACTCTGTGAATCAGTGATGTTTACAAACACAAACACATTTGGAGTTTGGCCTTAGGCAGGGAATATGCTGCATTTACACCATCAGCTGCAACTGTGAATGGAGAAATAAACAAAGAAGGTGATACAAACAAAAGGATTGGCATTTCAGGTTTTCCTCTTCAAATAAGTCAGCTTCTGAATTCTCTTCGGTCATTTTTTTAAGCTGTGAACTTTGTGTCTCCTCCTTTTTAAATCAGTAACAGAACAGAGCTCTGTTTGGTAACACCTTGCAAAGAAGCAAAGCCCTGGACATCTGAAGCAACTCTCACTTCATTGGATGCAGCTGGACAAGGCTGTGTGTACCCTCGGTTTCCTCACTGTCACAAATGCCCCCTTGAGCTGTGCTGGGGTGTGTTCCTTTCTGGGTTGGGGTCTTGAGATGGCAGACTTTCAACACATTCACTGAATATTTCAAAGAACTCAGATCTTTTGGGGGCATTCTGTTCTTGGTTGTAAATATATAATCCCCTCCAGGGAGGGTATTAGTTGTTCTCAGTCTCTGGAATGCTCCCAGTTTGTGGTACAATAATAGCTGATACGAGCTAACATTCATAAAAGACTTGTTTTGTCCAAAATATTTTTGATAATTTAAATATTTCCCACAGACACACCTAGAAAGTAAGTATAGATGAGGAAACTGAGGCACAGAGAGGTTATTGAAATCACAGAGGAACTAAATATGAACACAGGCAATATGATTCCAGGGCTTTCTGTCTTAATGTCTATGCTGTGTTGTACTGATGGAGTATGATGTGGCTTTTTAGATGACATCCTGCTGATCATTTTTAATTTTAATTTTAGTACTTGTGGCTATTTTAATTATATTAAAAAAATGCAGTTTGCACATCAAAGTTATAATTTCATGGATCTTTATTGCTTTGAATAAAGTTTCAAAAAGTGAATCAATTCAATTGATTTAAATAAGAATTTATTTTAAAATAATATAGTACACGTGGCACATGGATCTTAAAAAAATCTGTGGCAAAATAAATGACTAAAACCTGTGTAATACAGCCCAAATGTATAGAGATTCAGAGAGAATCTGTTTCATAAGGAGCTGTAGATACCCCATGAAAAACCCCATACTTTTCTGCAGTTCAGGGTACTGTTCATTAGCATGCCCTTGTTACTAGGCTTCAAATTCTGATATTACTCAACATAATGGCTACTATAAGGGCAAGTGTATGCTTCTAAATTCAAGAAAGGTAGACAGCTCTTTCAGGTGACACTCTTTTCTAATTTTCTATGGGAAGACCATTCAAAATTATGTTTGTAATGTTTCCAATTTGTTGAACAACTTAAAAACTACATTATAGATTGTGATGACTGAATACTCCTTTGGGACAGGACTTGCTTCTTATAAATCTTTGCACCCCACATGTCACAGAATGCCTGTAGATTAAACTTAACACATGACTTCCTTTTAGAACTTGGCAGTACATAGAATTATTTTTCCCCAACACAGATAACCAGCCCTTCACAGAAGGAAATGCTACATTCCCTCAAATCCCTATTCCTCCTTTGTTGTTTCCTTCCAAGCTTCCATCAAAGTGCTCCTAATTATGGCAACTCTTTATCTAAGTTTAGAGCTAATTCCAACTAGTAAAGTAATGATTTCTTTTCTATCCTGCTATGGTTATGTAATGAGTAAATTAAAAGAAGAGTTATAAAAATTTAGATAGCTGTATTACTAAAAAAGTAGGATTATCTTTTATGGCTAAAAGAACCAAATTTGATTTTGAGTCTGCAATAATGCCTATCTGAAAAAGGCCTCTAATTGTACTACCGGCTTCCACTTGGCCAATTCATGTCACTCTCACACTCTTGAAGCTTCACTTCAAATATCCTTTTTCATGAAGGTTAACATTGAATAAGACAGGTGTCCCAGGTTAGGGTATAAGAAAGCTCTTTGGAGAAGTTCCTGAAGGCTCCTTCTAAAAATTCTGCCCAAGTGATGATCAAGCAGTCAGAAATATCTCTTATGAGAGATTTATTTCTCCACTTTGAGAAATAATGTTTTGAGAAATTCCCTGTCAAAATAAAGGTAATGTGAGGAATTAAACAATTATACAAACAACACTACGCTATTAAGACTGATATATTTGTATTGGCTGGCTAGTGTAAGCACTGAAGGAAACTGCAAATTCTTTTAAAAAATTATTTTTTCTCTAAAAATTAACTTTAGATAGCTAAAACTACTACTAAGCAAACATAAGGAAATCATTCATAATTCAATCATTCCTAGTAATTTCTAATATTTGATATAAATCTTTCTAAGCTGACTTATATGTTTATGTGTCTGTCTTTTTTCCACCTAACTGTATTTTGAACATCTTCCCATGATATTTAGTATTCTTCTACAGCATACTATGTTACATTGTTTTGTTTCTTGAATATACCATTATATAAGTCTTTGTGAAAATTGTGTGCATATTTTTTGCTATTGTAAACATTGCATTGAAATTCCTTATAATTAACTCTGAACATTTATGATAATTTGTTTAGAATAAATTAGAACTAATTATTCACTACACACCCCACCACCAAAAGTTGTGAGGTGCTAGGTACAGTAATGTTTGAAGAGTGGCAGGCCTAGGTGGGACTTCAGACTGAATGCAGGGAGTGGCATTGACAGGGATATCTGAAATGATGTGACTGATCACCTGTCTCTTTGACAGTTTTATCAAAGACTTCATCCTTTATAGAGTGGTGTGCAGAGTTTAAATTTGCTTGCTCTGCTAGACCATGCTTTCTTTTTAGTGTTTTTCTGACTGCTCCATAGTTGTTTGTCCACTTTCTCACACTAGTGGCTAGGGGCTATTATCAAATAAAGACTTAATATTTCTAAAAAGGAAATGACATCAAATTTTTAAGTGAGTATGTTATCTTTACCAATACTTTCAGTCAGCAGTTTTTCTTTAACCTGAGATTGCTTTATTCTAGAAATGGATTTTTTTTTTTTTTTGCTGTTGACCCTGCACTTGGCAGGATGCTAATTTTTAATATTTATCTAAAGAGAAAGTCTATCTTAAAAGGAAGGCTAATGTGCTGTGAAGGAAAAACACATGAGAAGTAAGTAACTAGAAGTAAGTAATGTGACAGCATTTTTAAAAAGGAATTTTGCTTTAATATTTTCATGAAGAGTTGTTATCAAGATATATAATATTTCTGAAAAAGCGCTGTAAAATCAAGGGACCCTAATCGGTGAATTTGCAGGTAGCTCTTGCTTGTACATGAACACTAACTAAAAGAAATCTCTAACCATGGTGCTCACCCATTCTTTGAAATGAAATTAATAAAATGCTGTGCGCACAATGGGTTTTTAAGCCCTGTTGAGGAGTTCATCACAACTACACTGGTAGGTCAGAGTTTAAGGGTATGAAATTCCTGGGGGAACAGGGAATGTTACAGGATTCTAAGACATTAGCTAAAAACTTGCAAATGTGTGCCACATTCTTTAATCCAACTTGTTGGCTTTGTCTATCTTTATTTCTGAGAGAAATGAAGTGCTGGGAAGTAACGTGTTTGCACCAC